TCCTCTGCCATTGGCCAAGGGGGACCTGGCAACCCTAGTATGGTCTCTGTTCTGCCCCAAGTGGGGTTAGGTTTCTTGCTTCTTTTTCGGTATGTGCATGAAGAGCAATAATAATAAAAATCTGTGGGCACGCTCTCAAGTGTTCTGCACCTGAGTTACCACAGGCAGGCAGCCAACCTCAGGTTTCTTGGTCAGAGGGTCTGGATTTTGGGACAGGCCTCTGCTCTGGGCGCTTGTTGTTTTCTTAAAAGGGGCTTACTTAGGATACCTTTCTGCACTGCCTGGCCATGTCAATACGAGGCAGGATTCAGATTTACGTGCAGAGGAGTGCCATGGCAATGATGTGAATTTTAGTAATTCTTGTGTTTGCATATATTTTGGATTTGTGGGCACTGGGCACTAACAACAACCACGAATTTGTATTATGTTTTTAAAAAAAAATCTTGCAAACTGCCTTCAGCATTCCTTGGTGTCGAAAGATGGGACACAAATGTTTCGAACAAATAAGCGGAGGTTTAGTTTAGAGAGTTAAGCCAGCATTTGCCTCCCCCCCCCCCCATAGTCTGTCATTGCAGCAGTGATCTGTTCAGTAGTGCTGCCATTGCAGCAGTGATCTGTTTCGAGCAGGGCAGACAGGAATGAGGACGGCCACTTTCCCCTACACAAGAACATTTTCTGAGGGCACAATACCTTGCACTTAAAAGTTAGTGTGGCTTCTCTCCGATAACACACAACTGCTTCTGTTCCTGAATCCTTTTTGTTGACAGCCTAGCTCCTGAGCAGTTAAAGTGTTCATGAACATTGTGTTACATCACAGCATCCAGCCAAAGGCTGGAAGAAGGAGTATTCGTTTAAAAAAATAATAAAGTGCACTTTGGCAGGGGTTGTCATTTCAGCAAAATAGCCCTGTTGTGTTTGTCAGTTACCACTGTATGAAAACATCATCTGTGGGATCATACATTTGGATGGGCCTTGGCTTTTTTATTATTATTTTTAATTGTATATTCAGAAGCCACGATCCACCACATGGGGGGGTCTGTTAAAAGGTAATAAAATCTCATTGATAACTGTTGAAATACTCTGATTTTAATCCACAGACTGAATCTCACCATACAAAATGTTAAGAGCCCAAAATAGACTTCTGTGCTTCTGGCCATGCCGTTACCGGAAAGAAACAGAGTTGTGCCTCCACGGGCACGTGCGGCGCTCGCTGCACCGGAAACCGCTTCACCCAGAGTGGGCCGCGATGGCCAAAAGGCAGCTCAAGGGCAAGAACCCGGAGGAGTTGATGTGGCACACACCGGAGGGAATTTCTATCAAACCACTATACTCTACGCAGGACACAGAGGGCTTTCCTGAGGAACTACCAGGGGTCAACCCCTTCACACGCGGTCCCTACCCCACCATGTACACCTATAGGCCTTGGACCATCCGCCAGTATGCTGGCTTCAGTACTGTGGAGGAGAGCAACAGATTCTACAAGGATAACATCAAGGGTAAGATGCATACCGTAGGGCAGTGATTTTCTGCATTTCCTGTCTTACTTCCCACCTGTTGCTCTGTCAAAGAATCTGGGTCCCACCACTACCACGTGAAA